AATATCAACACCACCAACACCAACACCACCATCTCCACCATAATGACTACCTTCAATATCATCTCCACCACACCACCACCGCTGCCACCTACTTAGAATGTTTTTTTGCCTTTTTCTGAGCACTGTGAAGGAACAAAGAAAAGAGAGAAAGGAATGATGCAGTTTGTCTTGCCCCACAGTATAAGTCTCAGCAGGACAGTCCCAGCTCTGAGAGGAGCCAAGAAGACCATGAGCTCCAACCACAGATACCAGAGTCAGATGGCAGGGACGGGGAAAGGCTAGTCCTCTCTCCCATGGAGAGGGGCCAACCTGGCGTCGTGGGAAGAGTATGAGTTTCTAAGTCAGTCAGACCTGAGTTGAAAACCTGACTCTATATACTCACTGTGCAACTGGGCAAGTTCTTTAAGCTCTCTGAGCCTAATCTATGAAGTGGAGATAATGCCTACTTTGCAAGACTATCATAAGTTACTAGGGATAGAACATAGGTTCTAGATACCTTAAAGATTGTCTGGTGTGTCACAGGTGTTCAAAAATGAAGCTTTTTGTTTTTGTTTTTGTTTTGTTGAGATTTCTATTCCTGGCTTTAAAATGGGTTTGAATCAGCCTGGGGTTTCTGCTCCCTGCCATGAAGGGCAGTAGGGGAAGTGGACAAACAGGGAGTCTCCTGGGCTCAGGGCCACTTTCCCCAGGACCCAAGCATTGGTGGGCAGGTAGGAAAACACATCCAGGCACGGTTCCTTCCAGAGGAAAGTCACAATTAGAACTTAAACACCAGAAAGTAAAAAAGAAGCCAACTCTAAATATGTGGTTTTCATGGACAAAATAAGGAAATGTGGCTGTTTTAATCCTAGCACGGCAACAAGGCAAAGGCATGATTCGGGGCAGGGCGGCCTGCTCCCAGCTCCTGCTTGCAAGACGCAGGCTTTCACTTAGGGGAGGGCAAGGGGGTCTGAAACCCAAAGGCAGGAGAGGCCATTGTATTCCAAGATGCACAGGAAGGGGATGCTGGATCTGCTATCCTTGGGAGAATGCTTCACGTTTGCAAAGATTTGATATTCACCTACAGTTCCCCTTCTTATGGATATGACCCTGGGGAGTATTAGCCGCTCTGAGCCTCCGTTTTCTCATCCCAATTTGAGAAGGAATTAGTCGTCCCTACTTGGCAGGATTGGTGTGAGATTAATATAATAAATACAATCCTCGCACCTGAAGGACTGCCTGGTGCATGGTCGCTGTCTGATGTCTTGGACACGTTCGTTTCTCTTGCTTCTCACCATCATCCCTGTGAGGCGGTCACCGTTAGCACCGCCTCCTTTCTCCCTGGCTGGGGAAGCTGAGGTCCCAGGGCTAAAAGGCTGGCCTGCAGTCACACAGCTGGGCTGTGGTCGAGCTGCGCAGACCCAGGCCTCCTGGTTCCTGGGCCCACCTGCGTTCAGATGGCAGGTGCGGGTCCTGAGAAGGGAAACGGGGGAACAGTGCTCCCTGGGCTTGGGGAGGGGGGACAGCAGGTGCACAGGTGAGCCAGACACCCTAACCCGGGTGTTTCTCTTTCCCCCACAGCCGGGCCTGCTGAGTCAGCCTCGGGGACCTGGGTGAGTTGGACCCCTGCTCTTCCCTCCCCCTCTGTGTTACATCTGCCTCCTCATCCTGACCTGACTCTGCCACAGGACACTTCTGTCATCTACACCGAGGTGAAACACTCGAAGCTTGGTGAGGTTCCAGCCAGGGAACCGAATACAAGAAGCAGGACCCACAGAGTTGCCCTTGGTAACTTCGAGGAGGTCCTCTACTACTGATGGCATCCCCCCAACACCACCCACCTGAGGCCCCAGTGCTCCCCAGGAGGCCAGCAGAGACCCCAGTCCCTTCTGCAGGTCCCCAATCCCTGAGCCCAGCAGTGAGGGAGCCCGGCGTCCCAGCCAGGGTTCCGAGGAGACTCGAGGAACACCTAAATGATCTCTGGGCTGCCCTCTGAGTGGAAGAACAGGAACATGTGGGCAGGGGCATCCCCGTTCACACATGAGTTCCAAGCAGTGGACCAGACACGGAAGCCACAGATGTTTTCTTGCACATGAGTGGAAGGGTTGGAGTGCCTTCTCTTCAACATTTGTAAGGACTTTCTAAGGTGGCCTCAGTCCCCGTGCATGGGCTTGGCCTCTCCCTGAAGGAGAGAGCTAGCCCCCGGGCAGCTCTGGTAGAGCATTTCCAGCTTCCAAGCTGCCGCTGAAGCCCCTGAGTGACCACGGGGCTAAGGACCTCTCAGTGGCTCGGGGAGGCCAAGAGTTGGGGGGGAAGGCCTGGCCCAGATAATAGCACAGAATTCTCAACCCCAGAGCCAGAGCCCCCGTCCCAGGCACTGAGAGCCCAGCCTTCTCTGCAACACATTTCTGCTCAGACCCCTTCCGGTGACCAGGTTACCAAAGTTGCTGGAACTGAGGCTTGCCCAAAACCCCCATTTGTAGAGTATATCAGAACACTCACTTACCCCTCATGTGTTTACCAAGATACACACTTGTAGAATCTATTTGTTCATAGAAGCGTATCAGTTTGTTTCATACTTTTCACCAAAGCCGATCACTCATAGTGCCCGATGGTTGGTTTGGTCCTTGATGCTGAGGGTTTAGTCCTGGTAACTAGGAGGATTAGTTCTCCCTGCTCCTCCTCCCAGCCCTGACCCTACAGGCCCCTGCTCCTGAATCACAGAGTGAGGTCCCAGTCACGCTGCTGGATGTCACCGACCCCACCCACCTGTCCTGGGAAGAGGCCCACGTCCTCCCGCCCACCCAGAGCTCCCACCCAGGTGCCCCTGAGCTGCCCACAGCCAGCATTCATCCTTGAGCTTAATAGAAATGCATCCACTCGGACTCAGACCCAGACCTGCTGAATCCTGATCTGCATTTAAGTAAGATCTGTAAGCTGTTGGTATGCACATTAAAGTTTAGAAAGCCTGGTCTGCCTCCAAAAGACACTTCATGAGAGTACCTCCATCCACTCGCCTTTGGGAACATCACTGGATAGGACAGAGGGCCCAGAGAACTGCTAGGACAACCCTCGCTAGCACTTCTCGGCTTCCCCGGGCCTTCTCTTCCTTCCCATTTCCCCACCTGAACTTCCTCTTCCTTAGCCTCCTCAGCTTCCTCCCCATCTCTCTCATCACTGGTCCAGGCCATGTCCAGAAGACATCAGGGCCCCTCCCCTTCACTTCTTCCTCTGCCAGGCTGGGAAGCACATGCCAGGTCATCTAGAAGCCCGGGGTCCTCGCTGGTCAATCAGAAAGCACCTACAGAAGCCAAGCCTTGCCACGCCCTCTATAAACAGTCTGGCCCCTTGTAAAGAGTCAAGTCAAAGAGAGGACAGCTCCTGAAGGAGACACTGATGATGGAGAGCGGGAAGAAGACTGCCCTGCCAGTCACCCCCGTGGACCAGCTCCTCCCTGAGCATTCACACCACCCACCCCCTGCCCCACACCAGTGACACTGGAGCCTGTGTGTGGACGGTGTTTACCAGTGCAGGGCGGGATAAGTGGAACACTGAAAAGCAAGAACTTAGAAACTTTTTTTTTTTTAAGATTTTATTTATTGGGCGCCTGGGTGGCTCAGTTGGTTAGGCGACTGCCTTCGGCTCAGGTCATGATCCTGGAGTCCCGGGATCGAGTCCCGCGTCGGGCTTCCTGCTCGGCCGGGAGTCTGCTTCTCCCTCTGACCCTCCCCCTTCTCGTGCTCTCGGTCAGAGGGAGAAGCAGACTCCCCGCCGAGCAGGGAGCCCGACGCGGGACTCGATCCCGGGACTCCAGGATCATGACCTGAGCCGAAGGCAGTCGCTTAACCAACTGAGCCACCCAGGCGCCCGAACTTAGAAACTTTTATAGCAATCTGACAGAGTAATACAATCATAAAAAAATAGGGCTTATATTTTGGATGTCTCTTTTATTTCTTTTTTTAGTAAATTGCTTTTATCGTATTCTACAGAAGTATAGGTCCACAATGGATTCAGAATAAAGAGAAACATTTCCTTTGACACAGGTGAGAAGCCCTATCCTACACACTTACACACTCACACTCGCACACACACATGCACGCACGTGCACACACACGCACCCTTGTGGCTCATCTCTCCTGCACTTTGCTCCTTCCCCAGAATCCCTCCCCACCCCCACTTCTATTTGCACAGCCGAAAATATCCCTCCCCCTTAGTTTAGAAAAGAATGAGCCGGGATTTTTAAAAATGAACAATTACTAAGAAAATTGAAAAAGAAAATCCTCGAAAAGCACATAGAGAAAGCAGAGGCTTCAGAGGAGACCCCAGACTCTCCCTGGCTGGCCTGACAGCAGCACAGGTGGCCCCCAGGCTCCCTGCCAATGCTCAGAGCAGGAACCCGCTGCTGGTCCTGGAGGACGCTGGTGGCGAGGAGAATGGGACTCTCCCGGGTCTCCAGGGACAGACCCTGCAGGCACCAAGGAAGGCTGCAGAACGGACCGCAAGGCTCTGCACTGTTAGTTTTCTCTCCAAGTCAGAGCTAAATGCAGACACTCCTCCAGCAGCGATGAGTTGTCTGCCTGCTCTAGGGACGTAGGGAACGGGGCTCTGTGGGGTCAAAACACCTCCTGAGTAAGGAGGGAGGAAAGGGCTCCGTGCACGGTTCAGAGCTGAGGCCGTGTGGTGCGGCTGAACCTCCGGGGAGAGGGAGCGGGAACGGGGCCTCGCGGCTGCCCTCTACTGACCTCCGTGGGTCTGACCATCCGTAGGACAGCCGCATCCGGAGGTGCCACTGGACGCCCATCCTTGCTTTATATGTGGCTCAATATTTTAGAGACAAACACTAAAAATGGAGCGTGACCCTTCCCTGAGCCAGGCAGCTTGCAGATACTGGGATTGCTTTCAATTCCAGGTTTATTTTAGATTCGGCTAGAAAATAAGGTTTTTGACATTTTTACCTAAACCAGCATCCGCTAAGTAGCTCTGCGTCCTTCGTCTTTGTACGGACCGCGATGACAGGAACGACAGATGCGGCGCACAGGACAGGGAAGACCCAGGCCTTTTCACCCAATACCGGGATGCTTCGTGCCCCAAACACACGTTCCCATCCGGAGCCGCACTGCTGAAAGGAGCTGCGGCCGGCAGGGCCTAGGGCAGTCAGCGCGCCTGCGTCTTCGGCGTGCGGCCCTCTGCACCGTCTTCGGAGGGGTCCGTCTGTCAAGCCCTTTGAACGATCAGCCCACGTCGTCCTACTTGTCTGGGAATTCTTTCTGCCTGGGGTACAGATCGGCGTCATGGGCACCAGCACGAGCCCTGCGCTCACGGGCTTCCCATGCTGAGTGCTCTCTGCACCTGCTCACCGCGGGAGGGTGCACCGGATGGGGATCCCGCAAATGCTCGCTGAGTGAGTGAGCGAGACTCCAGTCCCTCCCTGGCTACCTCCGCATGGTCACGGCTTTGTCTCTTTTTTACGCAGCCTGCCTTCAGCTCCCTGGGAAAGTATGTCTTTGCCTCAAAAGCAGACCCTAAAAAGAAGAAGGCTCCAACCGTCCCACCCAGTTTCTACAGGGCTGTTTCTTCTCTCCTGCTTCCCCTCTCCTGCTGCGTGCACCTTGCTCTCGCGCATCAAAGATCAAAGACTGCACTCTGTCTCCACATCCCGAGCAAAGCCAGAACAAGGGTGGGGCATGGCAGGTGCTGTAGGCACAAATATTAAAGAGGCCCTCATGCTCAGGGCCGTGGGTGCAGGCCTGAGAGTGTTATCTCAGGGGAGGTCAGGTACCCCATTTTCACACACGCAGGCACTGCCTCTGCTGCCCAAGCTGGCTGACAGGGGGAGGGGGTGGGTTGTGCGTGGACTGCCCCACCCAGGGCCGCCTCTGGGGCCAGCCGGCGCCTGGTGGCTTGGTGCCATCGGACAGATCGTGCAGGTAGGTGGTCCACTCTACGCGAACCGAGGAGGCGAAGGTAGACATAAAGATGGGTTGTCCCTGGCCTCTCAGCCCACATCCCACACCACCCTCCAGAGGTGCCCCCCTTCCCTCCCAGAAAGCCCGCTCAATGCCCTTCCTTCCTGTCTGGAGCTCCACCCGCTTTCCTTCTCTCCCCCAAACACCTTCCGACTTTTTTCTCTCCTCCATCTCTCCTCTCTTCTGGTGTGGCCCTATTCTGTCCCCAGGCCAGTCCAAGAATTGAGGGCAAGTGTGAGTGGGCAGGACACCCAGATTCCACTGGCCCCGAATGGAACTGGGGCAGCCTGCGTGGCCACCGGGGACACCTGCCCCCGCACCCCTGCCCGCAGCGGAGGTGGGCTAGGGGAGAGGGGGAGAGGTGCAGATGGAGCTACAGCCCCGAGCCACAGCCACTCCCTGGCTCCCAGGAGGGCCCAGGGGCCCCTCTGCTCTCTTAATTGAGGAATGTGGGAGTGGTGCCTTTGAACTCCCAGCCCAGTGACTCCAGCACACTGTCCTTTGGCGGGCTAATTATCCTGCTCTGAACCAGTGATCAGCAGAGGGGGAGAGCCTGCCTCCGCAGACTTAACCCATCCGGAGCTGCCCCCGTTCGTCTCTCTCCGGTGGCTACACAGCCTGGAGTTCTTCCCTCTGGGGAGGTGGGACGTCTGCTGACCCTCACCAACCTCCTCTTCCCCCTTCCTCGGCTTCCCTGAAATTCCCCTCTAGCAAAAGGGCATGGGGGGCGAGGTGGGGAGGCTGGGAAGACAGCAACTCGGTTCCTGCTTGGATGGACCCCCACGTAGATCCAATCTGCTAAGAGGGAGCGTGACTGCCCACAGTCTGCTCTGCAGGAATTCCGAGTCTCTATCCCCCGCATTCCCACAAGGGCCCAGCTCCCGCATCCCACACCCTCCCGGTCCCACACCGTCCACCTCTAGGCGGGCTGGGAGGGCTCCCCCGCTTGGGAAGCCTGTCCTTGGCTATAGGCAGGGTGCAGACATGTAGGGGCCAGTCTGGGACAGATGGAGGGGACTGCTCACACCTGACCCCCCTTGCTCTGCGTTCACCTGTTCTCCTCTCTTCCGTCTCTGGCCACTTGGTAGCAACAGTTAAGATTTTTTTGGAATGCTGACTATGCGCCAGACCCCATCCTAAATAAGCCCCTACACGCACCACTCTTACCTCCCCGACTGTAATTATCGGGTTACACATCCCGTCTCCTCACCCAAACTGCAGCCTCCTTGAGGGCAGGGCCAAGCCTTTCATCTCTGTGTTCCCAGCCGCTGGCACGTAAGTAGATGCTCAATAAACACCTGATGCAAGAAGGACAGAATTCACAGCGGAGTCATAAATGAGTCCCCTCCCTTAGCATCTCTACCGTGAGGCCAGGTGGCTCCCAAATTCTGTCCCCTGACTCTGCCCTGTCCCTGCCTCTCTACTCTGAATTTCCTTCCTATTCCAGTCAGGACCATCCCAACAGCTGCTACCCAGGCTTTCTTGCCTCTTCTTTCTCTGCCAACCTGCCCCGCATGCTGTCCTTCCCCCAGCCAGCTACCTTGGGCTCAGGACGGGCCACAACCCCTCCCTCCAAGCAGACCTTCTCAGGGCCTTCCCTTGGCCCACCAGCTGCAGATCACCTGGAGCAGAGTGCTGGTCAAACTAGATTCCCAGGTCCCGTCCCAGCCCCACTGAACCAGGGTCTCCAAGGATTTGAGTCCAGCAAGGCCAAGAACTGCTGCCCCCAGAACAAAAGCTTAATCCCTAAGCCAGTGTTCAAGGCCTCTGTGATCCGACCCTCAACCTCCCTTTCCATTCCTACCCGCTGCAGCCCTAACAGGCTCCTCCCCTTGCCTGCCCCAGCCTCTGGCTCTCCCCTTTTCTCTGCCTATCCAAATCATGCCTACCATCAAGGCACAGCTCAAAGCCCACTTTTAGGGAAGGGTCCCCCGCCCACATCCACAGATGTAGGTCCCCGCACCCTCTGCAGCGAGAAGGCCCCACTGCCCATTGCACAGAGCCCTCCCCCTCTGTAGTGGACCTTCGTTCTGGGCATTTCCTGTTTCTACACTTCAGCTGCAAGCCACTAGAGGGCAGGAACCCGGTCCCAGACCCCTCCTACTCTCCGGCCGCCGTGCCTGCCTTGCTCTTGGCCCGGTCCCAAGGCGAGGTCAGGAGTTCTGCGCAGACGGGACACCATGAGCCCAGCATGGCTCTCGGGGGTTGCCTTCGTCTTCCCGCAGGGCCTCCCCTGACTCAAGAACCCGCGTAACTGGAAGTGAGAAGAGACTCAGGATGAGGAGGGGCAGCAAAGTGGCCCAGGCTCCCCGGGGCGAGGCTCCAGTCTCAGCTCTCGCTCGCGACCTCTGCAAGGTGCCAGCCTCGCTCTGGGTTCGAATCGATAAGACCCTCGTGGAGAATCGCTGTGAGCACGTCTAGAATTCACACACTCATTTACAAATGTTTAGGAAACACCCACAGCGTGCTGAGCACCAAGGGGAGCACAGAAATGAGTAGGGGAAGACCTTGTGGGCAACCCGTCCGTGGAGACGAGAAAACCGTGGCAAGACAGTGTGCTGAGGGCAGAGAGCCCGCCGGCACTGGGCTCAGATGGCTTGAGGGGGAGCCGGCCGGCTGCAGCGCGCCCAGTCCGGAGGGCTGAATGGAGCAGCGTGCCTGCCGCACAGTGCGTGGGGGTGCCGTGGGTGCTCCCCGGAGGAGCAGTCCTGCTTGGCATGGCCAGAAAACGGACCGGGGAGGCCAGCTCGCACCAACAGACCGGAGTCGAACTTAGGAGCGCCTTGTACACCAAGCCGAGAGTTTAGTCTCTTTTTTGAGGGCAGCAGGAGGTGCGGAAGAATATTAGAGAAGTAACAAAGGGAATTGCAGTCTAGAGGGTTCTCTGTGGCTACAGCAGGAAGGGCAGCCGGCCGTGGGGCGGTGAGATGCAGGGAAGGCTGGCCAGTCCAACCGGAGGATGTGGGCTTGTGCTGGGGCACCTGCCTCTGGCGGATGGCAGTGGCCCACCACGGGCACATGAAAGAGGCTGACTTACAAGAACCCACTCCTGACAAAAGCCCAGCCAGGCTGGGAGCCAACTTCCACTTTACTCTGAATATTTTCACTTTCGGGGCATCTTGTTCTGAGTCAAGATTGCTCCTTCTGATCATGGGACTTTCCAGAAGGACCACAGGCTCCTCCCGTGTATCCACTTGCCCCCAGATGTTCTGGATTTGGGTTGTTGAAGGAGTCTGCCGGCCTCTCTGGAGAAGGATGGGCATGTGGTCCCTGTGGAGCCTGCTTCTCTGGGAAGGTAAGGGGGGCCGGTGTGTGGCCCGTCCTCAGAGAGCTGGAGGCCCCTCCGTAGGGCCCCTCGCTCGTCAGCCGCCTGGGCAGGGGCCCGCATCCCAAGGGAGAACCCAGGGGCTGAGGAGGGACAGGGAAGACTGAAGCAAGTTCTCGGGCAACCTTGAAAGCTGGACAGAGCCAGGCCCTGCGGGGTCCTTGGGAGGAAGGAGGTGGCAGCCATAGCAGCATCGTTGTCCAAGACACACGAGCTGCTCCGTGGCCCCGGGCAGTTACAAACTGAGGCTGGTGGTACCAGTGGTTGGGAAAAACAGGGTTGTGAGAAGGGCGAGGGAATTCTAGTACAATCTGGGGAGAGGGAGGGCAGGGCGAGAAGGCTCGTACAAGGAAGGAGGCCTCTCCATCAACCTGGGGGAAGCCGAGGCTGCTCCTTGCAGGTCTGTGTAAGGGAGGGGGATGTTGGGAAGGGTGGAGGGGGGGAGCGAGCCAAACAGAGCACACGGACTTGGCATGTGGGAAGGGTGTGCCGTGGGAAGGGCGACACTTCCCTCCGTGGTGAGCAGGCAGCCCACAGGCCAGGGGTCAGCGGTGCAAGGCCAGGGGCAGGAGTCGGGGCCTGGCAAAGACGAAGCCACCTAGGTTCCCACCAGGAACTCGGAGGGACTTGGAGATGACTTTATCCAGTGTGCCCCTCCTGGGCTCCTGGCCTCGAGGGCTCCAAAGGCCGTGAGGATTCTAACCTGTCTAAACACGGGCAGGAAATCCCTCCCAAAGGAAAAGGAATCTGTGTGGTGCACAAATCTTTCAAGTCCCTGGACGTGGAAGGCAAAAAAAGAATTTTTCTGAAGGCCCCCTAATGGTAAACCAGATGAGTACCACCGATTGGGTGCACCCTCTTGTTTTGGGGGTGAGACCACGGAAGGGACCAGGGTGCTGTGCTGAAGTCACAGCACGGGTTTGCGGCCAAGTTGGGGCAGGAGAGACTGGAGGGACCTTGACCTGCATCCAGCACCATCCTCTGTGTAGCCTGGGCCTCCACCCGCAGTAGCCTCTGCAGCAAGGCCTGATGATTAGGGCTGCAGAGGGCAGTGAGATGGGCAGGGAGCTGGTGAGTGACCCCCCGGAACAGGGCTTGTCAAGCCCACTCCCAGCGCTCGGGCATGTCCCACACGAGCTATGCTGCTCTGTGTCCCTGAGCCCCACAGTGCCAGGTGCCAGGGGAGTCCTCAGGGCCTCCTTTCACCTAGTACAATGCGCTGAGCCTCTCCTCCATGCTCCTCCTAAACATAGCGTGGGCGTGGGGGTACGAAGAACACAAGAGGAACTTGTGTTCTCACGTGGCAGCCCCTGACTCATCCCCGGGCCATCCTGGCAGAGGAACGAAGCACCCCAGGCTGCTGGGCCACACGGAGAAACAGTGTGGACACCGCCCGCCCCCTCCAACAAATGGGGAGGTCAGGGGAGGCAGTGGGTCTCCAAGGATGAGCAGCAATTAGCCAGCGAAGGAGTCAGGGCTCCCTCCCGCTAAGGTACCGCCCAGAGCCCTCGAACTCAGCATCTCCCCACCTCCCAGCCTGCTTCTCCTCCAGCTCCTCGGGATCACGGAGAACGGCGCTCTGTGGGTTCCTGGTACCCCCGACGCCCTTCGCCTTCGCTCCCCAGACTGCACCTAGGACCCGACCCCACTGATGACACACCGGAGTCTTAACTCCTCCCTCTTCCTCCCCTCACTCTGCAGGCCGAGGAACAGCCACAGCCTGGGCCCTGCCCACTCCAGTGCACCCCCACACCCCTGCTGGCACGTCTTTCTAACCAGCATCTCATCCTCTCACTCTTACTGAACCCTGTGCAAGGCCTCCCAGAGCTCTAAGGGTAAAGCCCACGTGTGCTTTCAGGCGGCAGGACCAGGTTCCCACCAGCCCCGCAGTACAGTCTCTTACTCCCCTGCAGAGAGCAACTTTCAGTTCTGAGAACTACCAGAACCACGCGCTCCCGCCCGCCCCCCAGGCCTTCGAACGCGGAACGCCGCATTCCCTCGCCTGTGCCACTTCTCCAGCCCTGCTCCACACAGCCCTCCTCCCCCCGGCCTGGCCGATCCCCGCTCCTCCTGCTCTCAGCTTAACCATTTCTTCCCGGAGCCTCCCAAGGCCATCACCCTACCTGTGTTCTCCCAGGGCATCTTTTTCCCCATCGTGGCCCTTCACTTAATATGCTTTAATCACTTGCTTAGAGTTGGACTTCCTCTGGGAGCTCCCCAAGCACAGAGACAGGTTTCTCTCCCTTAGGCTTTTATTCCAGCCCCACCCCCACCCCCGGCACAGTGCACCTTGCTCAGCGTGGGTGGAGGGAGTGTGGGGAGAGGGGCCCCAGCGCTTCGCAGCAGCTTAGCTGGGTGTGTAAGCGGTGGCGGGAGACGGGTGAGGAGCTTGGGGCCGGCAGTGATGTGGCTCTTCTTGCAGCACTGCTTCCCACCAGAGCCTCCAGCACCCAAGTGCACGGCCAGGTTGGGGGCTCTGTGCTGCTGGTGGCAGAGCGCCCTGCCAGCTTCCAAGTCCGAGAGGCCATCTGGAGATCTCTCTGGCCTTCGGAGGAGCTCCTGGCCACATTTTTCCGGGGCTCCCCAGAGACTCTGTACCGCTCCCGCTTCCTGGGCCGGGCCCAGCTCCACAGCAACCTCAGCCTGGAGCTCCAGCCTCTGGAGTCTGGAGACAGCGGCAACTTCTCTGTGCTGTTGGTGGACACAAGCGGTCGGGCCCAGACCCAGCTCCTGCAGCTCAAGGTGTACGGTGAGTGCGCCCCACACCAGCTCTCCAGCTGCCCACAAAGCGCTGGAAAGGGGTCCTGTGTCCCAGGAGCTGGGGAGGACAGGGTTCCAGAGACCTCTGGCCTCTGACCTCGCAGCTGATTCCGGGACACATCTGAGAAAGCTCCCCAGGTGCTCCCAGGCAGGCGTGCTCCTGTGTGAGGCAGCCCGGCTTTGCCACCCCACAGTCCTTGCCTGAACTCCAGCAGGGTCTTTTCTGGGCTCAGTGGCCTTGGACACAACGCGAAGCCTCCCTAGCATTCACCTTTCTCATTTATAAAATGGGCATCGTCAGTAATATTACACATGGTTGCCCACAAATGCAAGATACACTGCGTTTGGGAAAGCATCAGAGACAGTGGTCTGGCCTACACTCCAAAATTCTAAGATTATAAGATGTGCCATTATTTGACAAAACATTAACAAAGAAAAAATATTGCCAAACTACGACACAATTTTTTTTATTAAAACTTGAAATATAATTGAAGCATGGAATGTTGATTTCATATCGCTTTAAAGAGTTCTTTTAGAAGTATTTAAAGATTTTTAACTATATGACATTCATGGGTTCTCTCAATTATTCATTGTTGCAAAACAAACCACCCCGAAACTTACTGCCCGAAAACAGCCATTTTAATTTCTCACCACCTGCGGGGGGGTGGGGCTCAGCTGGGCGGGTCTTCTGCGCCCCGTGGTTTGGCAGGATCATTCACACAGCCCCACTCGGCCCCTCAGCTGGGGCGGCTGGCTTCACTGGGCACTGGAACAGCAACTTCACCTCCACGCCCTCCAGGCACCTCCTCCACCTTCACCTCCACCACCACCTCCACCTCCTCCACCATCACCTCCACCA